TATCACAAGTCTGAGGCCAGCCTCAGCAACTTAGCAAAACCTTGTCTCAAAATAAAAAAATAAAAGGGTTTGAGAGGCACTCCTAGGATCAATCCCCAGTACCAAGGGGGTGGGGGGTGGGGACATGGACTCTGGTGTCAGGCAGCGGTTCAAGTCTCATCCCCATCACTCACCATCATGGGGAGCTTGGGCGCTCACTAGCAGACAATTTTGTGCCAAATCACTGATGCTCTCTGAACCCCAGTTTACTTACATATAAAAGTAGGAAAATTAATGTCTGGGGTTTTTTTTCTGATAATTGTAAGGAGTAAGTGGGATAATAAATGTGCCTGGATAAAAGTTAAGCCTCAATAAATGATAGCCATCTTATTACATTATTAACATCCTTACTCTTCCTTTCTGAACTAAAGGGCACAACTCAGAGGGTTTTTCCTGAAATGTTTCCCCTTCCTGAAAACGAATGATGCGGGGGGGCTGGGTTTCTGTCCTACTCAGCTATTCAGGAAGCCCCCCTCCCGCGCGCGCGCGCACACACACACACACACACACACACCCTGTCACTGCCACACTGCCATCTCTGCAGAATGACATCCCACATTTCTGAGCACAGCTTGGGAAAAGATCCCAGAACCCAGGGGTTGATGATCTTCCATGTGAAGAAGGAAAAGGAGGAGGAGGGGGAGGGTAAAGGAAGAGGAAGAAGGAGGAAGAGAAATAAATGAGGAAGAGGAGAAGGGGGAAAGGAGGAAGAGGAGGAGGAGGAAGAGGCCAAGGAAGGGAGGAAGGAGAGAGGGAGAGGAGGAGGGAAAGGAGAGAGTCCGGGGCCCATTCCAAAGCCCCCCGGGCCAGGTGCCCATCCTAACCTTAGTCACAGAGCCCCCAACCCTGGTGGAGGTGAGCACCTCCTGTCAGGGCTCTGCAGGACTTGGGGGGACCAGCAGAACGGGCAGTTAGTGCGCATGTCACAGCACCCTTCTGCGGGTCCTTCCAATACCAAGGACAACCCGCGTGTGGTGGCTGCTATCTAAGTGGCGACCAGAAAGCCACATTCCCGTGGGGCATGAGGTGTAGAGGATGACCAGACCCAGGCTGAAGGAATGAATAGGAAGGTCTTCTGGGGAGGTAGAGGCTTTATTACCAAGTCTTCAAAGGACAGTCCAGTCAGTGGGCGCGCGCTGGGCACGCAGAGAGGGGGCCCCCCAAGGCTCTGGGTCCCCAGAGAGGAGACCACTTCGGGGGGTGGGGAACCCCGAGGGCTGAGACGGTGCGCTCAGGTCGGTGCAGCGGGGCGGGGCGGGGCGGGCGCGGCTCAGCAGCCCCCGGAGCAGCAGCCGGAGCCCCGGTTGTCGCTGGAGCACTGGGACCTCTGGCTGCCGCCCCCGCAGCAGCAGCAGCCGCCTCCGCGCTGCCGGCGGCGCCTGCGGGGAAAGCAGCAGCAGCCGGTGGAGCCGGAGCCGCAGCAGCCGGTGGAGCCGGAGCCGCAGCAGCCGCGGCCGCAGCAGCCGCCGGAGGAGGAGGGCGCGGGCGCGGGCGCCGGGGCGGGGCAGGGAGCCGGGCCCTGGGAGGACCCCTTGGAAAAGCCTTTGGCGGAAGACATCGCGGACTCCTCCGAGAACCTGGGGAAAGACACCGTTTCAAACAGGAGCAGTGGAACCCGGGGCCTGAGAGATGTGGCTTAGCCACCTGTCACCCGGGCCCTGGGGGGACGGGGGTGGGGTGAGGCACCAAGGAAGAGGGCGAGCAAAAGCCCGATGCAGGTGTTCCAGGTGCGCTGGACACTTCCAGTGAGTGACACGTGGAGACGCAGGACACACTACAAAGAATCAGCAGTGAGGGACCCCCGACATGGAAAGCACAGAAGACGCTGCGGCAGTTTTTCTGTAGGATCCAGTCCAAAACCTACTCTTGGTTCTTCTCCTGTCCCCAGTTTTACTTTGATCACAGATGGTCAAAGCTCTGTTTGAACATCTCATGGGCTAGAAAATACCCAAATGGCACCCGTGCCCCTGCCTCCTGGGGTTAAAGTATCCAGGGACACAGAGGCAAGTCGGGGTCCTTCTTTCTTGCCTGTGTTTCTCACCCCCTGCCACCATTAGGAAGAAGACAAGGCATGCAGAGAATGGGGACATTTCCGTCCAGAGAGCCAAAGGACCTGGGTTCTAACCGTAGCTCTTCAACAGACTTTCTGGATAACCTGGAAAAATGTCTCCCCCCTGCCTTCTTGTCTTCCTTGGCACCATGAGAGCCTGGCTCACTTGAAGCTTACAGTCTCATCCAGGGCTCCTTCTGCATCTACCTGCTAGCTATGTTCTGCCCACTCTTTCCCAGACCCTGCTTGACACTTACCAGACCCTGGCTCCACTGGAAGACTCACTCAGTTCTCCAACTGGACCGTGCCACTACCAGGCAGTGAACTGAGCAGTGAACAGCCAGAGAACCTTTTATAATATTCCAACTAAGCACAGGCTCTGGGGAGGGGCCCATTTCTCAACAGATGTGCTCAGATGACACTCACATCCCAGAGACATTCATCACTCAGGTAGCACCGTAGGTGGTGCACGTGCATATCCAAGTCACTTCTCAGAGGTGCCAGGATTGCTGGGCTGTGTTTACTCTCCAAACAGGACACTGTCCGTAGCTGGGAGGGCTGTGTGTGTGCTAAGAGAGGCACAGGGCTCAAGTGAGGAGAGGGCTGGGCCCCCTCTGTCCTCTTCTACAATGCACGTGTGCACGTGCGTGCATGGTCCCCCTAGCCCACGCGTCCGTCCCTGTGTAGTCACCCACCTGGTCGTTGGTAGATTACTTGTCCTCTTGATTCACTGTCTGCTCTTGGCAGCGAAGGCAGGTTGCAGGCTGTGTGTAAACCTGCTGGGTCTCACGCAGATGCTCTTAAGTGGAATTGAGTGAAGAATGAAGAACCTGATGGTGGTGAGACTCCCAGTAGTGATTTCCCTCTGTCCCTGGAGACAGGAAGAAAATCCTGGGCAAAGTTAAGAGACCGTTCAGACCAGAAAAGTGGTGAATATAGTCAGGTAACCATGTCCCCATAATACAGCCCTGCTGGGTCCAGGAGGAAAATGAGTGGGGCCGGTGGCCCAAATGCAGGCCAGCCTGGGGGCCTTCTGCTGCTTCCCCCACCCCCGACTCCCTCGGAAGAGCCACTGTTCAATAGGGAAGAAAAGGAAAGCATAAGGAGAGGGAAGGAGGAAGGGAAGGAATGAGGGAGGAAAGAAAGGACCGAGGAAGGAAGAGGGGGGAGGAAGATGGGGAGGGAGGGAGCGAGGAAGGGGAGAGAAAGGCTTTGCCGAGGCCCTCAGTGTCAAGGATGGCTGTTGCTTTTAGCATAACTAATTTTTATTTAGTTATTTAGTTAGTTTTGGGTACTGGGGATTGAACCCAGGGGCACTTTACCACTGAGCTTCAACCCAGCCCTTTTAATTTTCTTATTTTGAGACAGGGTCCCAATAAGCAAAACTAACTTTTAAGAATTAGAGGAGCCTGTGGACACGAACTGCCTCAAAACTTCCCAGGCAGCACAGCTACCTGGCTGTAACTGGGGACACCAGCAGCAAGAGAAGGCCTAGATCTCAAGGGTTAATGGAAGAGATAAAGGGGGATAAGGGAGCTGGGAGTGGCAGGAGGAAATGGACCAGGAAAGGTAAGTCACAGAAGAGACCAGTTTCATTTAACGTGGCTTTGGAGCCTGATTAACAGGTTGCCTGTGCCCAGAGCATCTCTTGGCGAGTACAGGTGCGACATTTCAAGAAGTGAGGTCAACACTAGAAGTCAGAAGGAAATCATGCAGCAAAAAGATGGATGGAGGCTCTCCTCTGGGAAATCCAGCAAAGTCTTTTGTAAAAGAAAAAAAAAAAAGAGCGGAGAAGCCGGGTGCAGTGGCACGTGCCTGTAATCCCAGCAGCTTGGGAGGCTGAGGCAGGAGGATGGAAAGTTCAAAGTCCTCCTCAGCAACTTAGCAAGGCCTGAAGCAACTTTGTAAGACCCTGTCGGTAAATAAAGTATAAAAGGGGCTGGGGATGTGGCTCAGTGGTTAAGTCCCTGGGTTCAATCCCCAGTAACCACCCCCACCCCCCAAAAAAAAGTGGAGAAGAAAAGGTGTTGATCGGAACTGATATGAGGAGTGAATTAATTGGGCAAGTAGCTGCTCATCAGATGGAGAGCTCTAACCTCTTATGCGGCTGTTAACTCTTATCAAAGGAGGGATCAATTGTTTATCTCTTATGGAGAGGCTGTTTGGAATTATCCTTTCAATCATAAGGTGTTTTGTTTTGTTTGTTTTATTATTTGTTTGTTTTTTACTATCTCCTGACAGAACCAGTCCATTCCTAAGGAATGTTCTCTGGAAACTCCAGCGTAGTGGCCAGAGCCTCCCTTCCTGCACCCCCTGCACATGAGGAGACAGTCTTGACTGAAAGGGTGACCTTCTTGGTTCTTGGGCTCAAACCCAGCATTCCAGGATCCAGGGGAAATGCTCCGACAGGTCACTCCTGCCTCCTGACTCCCCACCCAGCTCTGCACTCTGGCCAACTGACATACGCCTGAGATCATCTGAAAAGTAGTGGGTCCATTTATTGAAGCCCCAAATGAGCACTTGAAGCCATCATGTGCCCCCAGAATAAGAGAGAACCTTTTCCAAACTAAGACCCATACCTGAAGGAAGGCCTCCCAGCGTGTCACCTCCCTGAGAACAACCCACCTCCTCGCCCCAAACCATTCTCGCCCTCCTCCTGCAGGTGAGCTTCCTCCCCTGGGGTCAGACGGGATGCTGGCCTTCATTGTTAAAGTTCCCAAATTCAGAGCCTTAAAGGGGATATCGCCTCCCAGAGGTCTGATTGCCAATATGTGCTCTCAAAACAGAATTTCAATATGTTCACTTGCACTTAAAAGAAGGGGAAGGGGAGGACAGAAGATGGCTTGGTGCGGGAGGGGCGTGTGATGGAAGAGGGGAGGGGTGCACAGAATGTCATTGGGAGGCCGTGACATCAGGAATAAGGAGCTTTATTGTTGCAGAGAAACACAGCTTCGTGGCTTAATTTCAACACTTCATCCTCCAAAGAAGGGTGTGTGAGAGGGGACCCAGGCCAGGGAAGGGCAAGACAGCCCAGTGGGTGAGCCTGCGCAGACAAGGGAGCCCCAGAGCATTAGAAGCCCTGGGGGGGGCGGGGACAGAAGCCACAGCCTTGGCACATCTTCAGCGAGTGCTGCTTCTCGGTGCTTCTCTGGGCCCAGGTTAGCAGCAACCTCCAGACTGCTGGCTACTGCCACCGCTGCTACAGCTGCCACTGCTGCGACCGCTGCCCCCACTGCTGCCACAGCAGCCGCCGCCACCTCCACTGCTGCCACAGCAGCCACCGCCGCCTCCACTGCTGCCACAGCAGCCACCGCCGCCTCCACTGCTGCAGCAGCCAGAGCTCTGGTGTCGGCGACGGAGAGACCTGCGGGGCCGGTGGTGGCTCAGGCAGCAGCCCCCACCCCCGGAACTGCAGCAGCCGCTACCCCCCAAGCTGCAGCAGCCGCCACCCCCAGAGCTGCAGCAGGAAGAGACTTGAGGGCTCTTAGGGGGACACTTTGGGGGGCACTTGGGGGCCTGGCACTTTTGAGGGCACTTGGGAGGGGGCTGGCACTGCTGGCTCTGCTGGCAGGACATCTTGGCAGGAACTGAGTAAAGCTGAAAGACAATACAGAAGCTGTAAGTTCAAGTAGCCCAAATCGTGAATTTACAAGACTTTCTCTATGATCCTCAGATTCTTAAAACCCGGTCTCCTAACACCAATTACAAAGTATGTATACACACACACACACACACACACACACACTTTATACTTTCAAATGAATTGTTTGCAGCTTTGCAAAAACACTGATCTCTCGTGCCCTCTCCATATCTTCCACCTTTCCCTTCCAGAACCCTCCCTTCCAAGCCCTCCCTTCTCCTCGTCTTTCTAGGAGATTAGTCTCAATCCACCCAGGTCCTCTTTCTGCCCAAACACCAGCTCCGAGAGTCCCTCCTGATCCCTGAGATGTGCTCTACCTGGTTCAGGCACTGGAGTAGGTCACTCGGGATGCGGGTGGACTGAGGTGCTGTTAGAAGCTGCTGCCTTTTATACAGTTCAGCTCTGACCTGGTATCAGATCACGCGCAGGATGCCGATACCGTCTTTCATAAGGTGCATGGGTGGCTCCCTCCCCTCCTATTCCAAGGACCCAATTCCTCCCTCCATAAGCATCTGAAGTATTAACACAGGAGGGTGCCCTTCTAGGATGGTGATGGAGCTTTGCGCATTGCACAGGATACCTGTCAATCTCACAGGCAGCTCTGCTATGCTCCCTATTTCCTGAGCTGGGCCAGGCTGGTTGTAGACCTCTGGGGTGAAGACAAGATCCGTCTTCTCTTTGGAATAGGAAAAGGAGTGGGAGAGTCCCAAGGTGGAAATGAAAATGGTCTTTTTAAGAACAAGAAGTGCTCCAGAATAAGATCCAAGATGGCTTTCTTCCTTCTTGGGTGGTGCCATAACCTGAACTAGGAATGCTTGATATCCTGATGGGGTTATTTTTCACAGGCCTAATGCACATGGTGTGGGTGGTTGGCCTCTCTCGCTCCCTGAACTTGACACACTAAAGGAGGTCACAGACAGCCCTGATTCAGCACTACCAGTCTTTTTGAGTGAGCAGAAGCCTAGGAATGGCCTCTGTGTCCTCATGGGGTCCTAAGGAAAGCACTTTGGCGAACCCAAGGTGGGGTGCGGGGACTGGGTACACAGGAGGGGAGAACTGGGGCCTCTAAAAGCTTGCAGAGAAGTGAGGCCTCAGCTCTGATCATCTCCAGGGAGAGCAGGGAAGATCCTTTTAATACAGATGACCTCAAGTGGAGACCTTCCATGCAGGGGATGGGGACTGGGGGCTGGTGGAAGGGAAGTGTCCATGGGTTTTGAAAACCCATAATAGAATCCAGAGCTTATTTTCCCTACAAATAGTATTATGAAGGAAAGTTAGGTCACCAGGAAAGTAGCCAAAATCGATTTCCTGAAAAAAGGTAACTAAAATATGACATATTCAATGTGAATATGTCATATTTTAGTTACCTTTGGTAACCCACACGGGGTTAAGTGGTCTCCTTTAAATTGCAGGGGGTAGCAATGCAGCTCAATTACAATGCAGACTCCAAAGAGACTGGCACCAGTTTCCAGGTTTGCAATCTCAGGAAGGTCACTTAATTGTCACTGTAAAATGAGACTAATAACAATTCTTAGTTCACTGAAGAAGGAAATGTCGATAAAGTTCTAACAATGGTGTCTGGAACTCTAGGTTCAAAATGCTAATTTATAAAGAATCTGTATCAATATATCAAAACATCACATGGTACCCCATAAAAATACAGTTTTTATGTGGCAGCTTTAAAAAGTAAATTCAAATCCTAAAATCTAGGGGATTTCAAAGTAAAAAGAACCTAGTCACTGTGGATTATTTCTATGAGAAAATTTATACTAAATTCCAAATTATTTATCTGTTTATTTTGGGAACAAAAACGATTTTTGTAATATTAGAGCTTAGCCCTCATGTTTTCTTACAGCAAACACTTTAGAGTATTTACTTCTGTAATTCATTTTTTAAAAGTTATTTATAATTCCATTCCAAAATCACTACTCGTATTTTGCTATTTTCCTTGCTTTCTTTTTAACCATGTATAGTTTTTTGGTGATTTGTATTTTGTTCTGAGCTCACCCAGTCTTTGTTTTCCACATTTCTGGTGGTTTATTATAGTTGTACAAGATGATGGGATTTGTCGTTGCCCATGGTTTTCACAGGCACACAGACGAACAGTGCAATCTGGCCATACCACTCCCCAGCACCCCCCTCCCTTCCTGCTTCTTGGTCCCGTTCTTTCTTCTACTGGTCCCCTTTGCTTTTCACGAGATCCACCCTTCTTTTTCTTCGTCCTCTCTCTAGCTTCCACGTATGAAAGATAACATGACCCTTGACCTTCTGGGTTTGGCTACTACCACTTAACACAATGGCCTCAAGTTCCATCCATTTTCCTGCAAGTGACACGATTTCATTTTTCTTTATGGCTGAATAAGACTCCCCTCTGTATATATGCCACATTTATTTGTCCTTTCATCTGCCAACAGACACCTAGGCTGGCTCCGTACTTTGGCTATTGTGAACTGTACTGCAATGGACCTGGGTTTGCATGTATCACTAAAGTATGCTGACTTCAATTCTTTAGCATAAATACTGAGGAGGTGTGTGGCTGGGTCATGTGGTCGTTCCACACCTAGTCTTGCACTGATTTCCATAGTGGTTGTACTAATTCACAATCCCACCAACACTATAAAAGGGTTCCTTTTTCTCCACGTCCTCTCCAGTATTTATTATTGTTTCACATAGTCTTTATGATGAGAGTCTATCTTATTAACTCTTCACTTAACATTTTAGCATAAGCACTCCCATGTTATCCATTCTAGGGAGCGTTATTTTGGGTGCAGAAGAACATTTCCTGCAGGGTGCAGAATCTCCTGCTAAGTGGCTGGAATTGTTAGTTCTAGAGCCAGTATCCAGGTCTGGATACCAGACTCCCACTTATCAGCAGTGCCCTTGGACAAGTCAGAAGAGCTCTCTACCTCACTATCCTCATCCATGAAATGTGAAAGGAAATAATGCTTATCTCGTAGGGTCATTTGTATATTAAACGTGTTCATATTTATTCAACTCTTGGAGGAGTGCCTAACACATAGTAAGCACTCGATAAGTGTTAAAAATAAAACCTGACACTGTAACACTTCTAAATTTCATCAGATAGGGTATAGAGTGGGCTTAGATAAAGACCACCAGGCGGAGAGGAAAGAGGTTGGCTGCTAGATCTCTGTGTCTTAGGTTGTTCATCCATTCCCCCACCACGCCCCGCCTTACTTAGAAATATAAGAAAGAAATATAAGCCTCAAAACTTCTAGAAGAAGAAGAAGCTTAATAGAAGTTAAAGAAATCACCTGTATTACTACATGCATATTATGAACTTTAAAAGAGACAACGGCCTTCCCGTTTAACTTATAATTATTTGGATATACAGCCACCTACCTGACTACATGGGTCAGAACCCCTATGAGAGCTAATTTGGTGTTTGTAGACATTATACACTCATTTTTATTTCCTTGTTCACTTTAATTTGCTGTTCAGAAAGGAAAACAGATGCGTCCAACAAATCTGGACCCAGACTTTCATTAACAAATTTGGGACATTTCACAGAATGATAGAAGATATGGAAAGGATCTTGGCCTTCATTCAGAGCTAGTGGTTTTCAACCTCTGGACATTGACACTCTCTCAAAGTTCATTGGTGGTTCTAAAGCACAGTCAGAATGGAGCCTCCCTTCTTTTACAGAAAAGGAAACTGAGACTTAAAGATGAACCTAGATGGCGCGGAGCTAAAGGCAAAGCTAGAATTCAAGCCCTGCTATCAGCCTTCTCTCTGATACAGCATTCTGCCTCTTCAATGATTATTTATTTCTTCTTGTGATTTTTTTCCCAGTGAGTTTTATGTTATATACAGAGAACCCTCCATATTCGTGGGTTCTGTATCCATGGTTTCAACCAAACACAGATTGGAAATACTCTGGGGGGAAAATACATCTTTATTGAATATGTACAGACTTCTTCTTGTCATCATTCCTTAACTAATACAGTGTAACAACTCTACACACAGCATTCACATTTACATTGTATCAGTTATTTTAAGTAATCTAGAGATGACTTAAAGTGGGCGGAAGAGGTCCACAGGGTAAATGCAAATACAGCATCATTGAGCATTGAAGGATTAGGGTATCCACAGGGCGTCCTGGAATAAATCCCCGAGGATACTGAGGGACAACTATAATTTGCTTATTAAACATGGCTATTGAAATTGGAGTGAAATAGTAATAAATGTGTTGAATCATGGCCTGAATCGCATATCTGGGGGGAAGTAATCGTCACCTCTCCTACCCTTAGTAACCAGGAGTCAGGCACCTGTTTCTGAAAGACAGTGCCAGGCATCACCAGGGAGGGGCCAGCTGGCAGGTCCCCAGGAACCTCCCGGATGGCACCACCTCGATGACTGCTCCATGGCTCAAAGTTCAGCCGTGTGCGTGCCTCTGAGCTTATCAGTCTCAGGGACACTGATTCACTACACCTCACACAGAGACTGATGACATCAGTTTACAAAGAGAAACCTGAGTGACAAATGTGGGCCTGACAGGTACATCCTCCCCTGGGGAGAACTCCTCCAAGACACCAAGTGTTCATCTAGACCTGAAAAATGACCTCAGGTTTGTTGGTGGACAAAGCTAGAGAGCTCCATCAGGTCATCTGAACACCTCCAGCCCTGGACAGATGTGGGTGGACTTGAACACCTGTGTTCCCTGGCTGCCCTTTCCCTGGGCTCCTTTGTGCTGACCCCAGCCTGGGAACTCTCCGTCTGGGGCTTTGCAGGGCACTGCTCTCCTCTAACATTGAACATAGCAAAGGACACTTCTTTACCTGTCTGATTTTCACCACTCACGGTTGCCCTGATGAATAGTTGGGTAGACAAAGAGAAGTCCATCCTTCCCCCACCAAAAAGAATCCACATCCTCACCCCCAAAACCTGTGAATGCAGTACTTTACATAGCAAAAGGGATTTGTAGCTGTGATTGACTTAAGCACCTTGAGATGGGGAGATTTCCTTGGACTATGCAGGTGGGCTCAATGCAATTCTAAAAGTCCTTATAAATGGGAAGCAGAAAGGTCAAGGTCAGAGAGAGGAGACAGGGCAACAGAATCAAAGGTTGGAGTGAGGCATTATGAAGATTATAGGAAGAGGCCATAGGCCAAGGAATACAAGCAATCTCTGGAAGCCGGAAAAAGGAAGGAAATCAACACACCTCTGCCAACACCTGAGTTTAGCCTAAAGAAACCCGTGCCAGTTCTCACCTACAGAACTGCAAGTTAATAGGCTACCAAATTTGTGGTAACTTGTCACAGCAGCAACAAGAAACTAATACACACGTTTCCAAAAATAGCTTTAAGTTTCACAACGTAGCTTACTTACTTAAAATTAGGTCAAATTTATTAAAAGTTCTTTCCATTGGTGCTCTGATTTGAAGGCTCACATCCTCTGATGGATAAGAGG